TACTGGACGAAAAGGCAGAGGAAATTCATCCAGCACTCCAGAGACAGCCTCTGGGATGTGCAGCTTCACCAACACTGCATTCTCCAATTTGCCCACAGACTGCACACAACTTGTCCCTGACTCTGACTGCGTTCAAGGTATCTGCGCACGGCAAATGGAACACGGGCGAGCTGGGGCAACGTAGCAGCCAGTGCCTGTCCCGCCGGCCTTCGGCGGGCTCCCACCCACTGCCACCACAGCTCAGAACCGCTGCAGAACCTAGCCCTGGCATGCTGCACTTCCCCTGCCAGGGCTCCGAGCTGAGCTGCGCACCACACAGGCACCTGCCTCGCCAGGAGGTACGCTCAGGAGGGGCGAGGGCGTTCCCAAGTGCAGCCTGGCTTCACATCACTGGCCAAAAGCAAAGTACCGTGCGGTAAAACTTGAGTGTGAACAAAGAAAGAGCAGACCACTTCTAAAAGTAACTTAGCAATCAGAAGGCAGCCCTGCCCTCCTCTCCCTGCCGGGGAAGCCCGAGCTCCCCTCCAAGCTGTGTGAATTTAGCTCGTGCAAACGCATTGCAAGGCTGCACGCATGCGTCCTGACAGGGCTCGCGGAAACTGACTTCCGTGTTCCACTCCACACTCTCCAGGGACAACTAACAGGTTTTAATTAAGAAACTGACTTCTGAGATTCTGACTTCTAAACAGGAATATAAAAATAAAAATCCTTAATGCTCTTTAAGTAAATGTATTTTTTTTTTTTTTTGTGGTACCAGGGATTGAACTCAAGTAAATGTATTGTTTATTACTCACCCCTTCCTATACTTGCTTTCATATATAATTTAAGAGAAAATGACATACAAAATGAAATCAATCTAAGCTTGAACATGCTGACGTTAGACAGTTGTAAAATACTCAACTTACAAAACCCAGCCATTGTCACGCCTCTCGCGTAGCCCAGCTAACACACAATGACTCCAAGAGCCCTGTCAAAACTGTTTCTAAATTTAAACAGTAAAGATGCATCAAAGATGGGGGAAAATAATACTTCTTTGTTTTTCTCTATGCTGAAAGTATTTGTTTAAATTAAAAAATCTTTCTTGACTTCAACTGTGCAATTCAAGGAGACTGAATAATGTTTCTTAATTTTAAAACAAATTAAACCTTCCTAAAAGGAATATGATAGGCACTATTTGAAAAATACAGGCTTAACTTAAAAATTTTACCATGCCTATGGGTGGAAAGGGGGGAAGAAACAATAAGAGAATTGTTTCATGAATTATCCAACATCGTCTCAGCAGAATACTGTGTGCAGGAGATAGAAATGATCTTTACAAAGATTTAATAACACGGGAAACCTTACGTTATAAGGGTAAGCATAAAAAAGCCTGCAACAATGTTATGGATAATATGGTCCTGGCTGTGTAATAGAATGCACAGAAAAAAGAGAAGAGTGAAATCGGCCCATCCATACATGACTGTGGGCACCAGCAAGGCTCCTGATGGGTGTGGCAGCCCCAGAGCCTGGGGAACCCCTGAACAGCCATGCCCTGACCCCAGGTAAAAGGGACCAGCTGGAAAACAGCTCAGGGGGAAGCCTACGCAGGTCCTCCTTCCTCCAAGCCCACAGGACCAGAGAAAAGAACTGTAGCTAACTCTGCCACCAGGCGGGATTCCCAAAGGCAGCCCTGGCCAGCTCAGAGGCCTGGCCCCAGGCGGGCAGGAAAACAGAAGGAGCAGAAAGCTCCTTAATCAAAGGAGAGAGGCAGTTAAATCCTTTCAACAGTGAGGCGATCAAATGTTTCAACCTTCTCCTTCATATTTGCCTATACCTGCCAATAGCTCGACATTCAGTCTTTCTCTTCAACAGATTTAAAAGCTGAGGTGTTTTTTCCTCTTTATTTCATAATAAGTAAAAATGTTTTTCAAGATTCCACTCAACACCACAGTACACGGAGCTCCTGTTCTGTGCACAGCAGGAGACACATGGGACCCGAGGGTCAAGGGACCAGTGGCCCACCACGGCAGGACACGGGAGGGCAGATCCAGCTCTGTCCTCCACACAATGTGCCCTCACCCTCTCCGCACTGCTCTGACTCTGACCATCTGCCCAGCTTCCTGTTGGGTATCAGCTTCACCCTTCCTGTTGGGAAGCAGGTAGTTAGCTTGAGAAGCCCAAGGTCCTGCTCCAGTATCTTATCACTTCCCACATCCTGCTGCAAGTCATGGACTATGGAGAGGCTTTTTTTTTCTTTTCTTTTCTTTTCTTTTCTTTCTTTCTTTTTATACTGGGGATCGAACTTGGGACCTTTTGCTTGCCAGGCAGGCACTTAAGCCACTGAGCTTTCTCCCCAGCCCCCAGCCCCGGAGAGGCTGCTTAAGCGCCTGCACCAACAGGCAGGCCGTCCCAGGGCAGAAGCGGCTCTGCTCAGACACAGCAGGCAGCTGCTGCTTCCCACCTGGAAAACCACCATGGGCGCTGACTCCCTTCCTCCCAGGGAGGCCATCCGGAGTCCACGGCAGGGGAGGTCTTCGCCAGCTCAGGCACACTGCTCAGCACACTCCCAGAAAAAGCCCAGCCTCGCTCCAACACCGCAATCAGTCTGAGGTAGCTGCCTGAGGAGTACCCCTGGCAAAACCTCTGCCACGAGGCTTTCTTGCATCTCCAATTAACTGCAATCATTGCCACACTGCAACTTTGAGGAAAGAAGCAATCCCAACAACCGCACAAGCGGCCCCATACCAGGAGGCAGTGCCCATTCACACTGAGACGCACACCACCTGCCACCCTACAAGTTGTCTGTCCGGGCTGATGCCACAATGGTGCCAAACGTTCAGTCATCAAACTGCAGAGTCCTATTGCCAGGGTTCACCTCTGAAGAAGAGAACCATGTCTTCAGATCTTCAATAAGCCTAGTACCTGAGGGTCACCTGCTTCAAGACCAAGTGCTCAGGCATTCAGCATGTCACACAGCCCCTCAGGAAGCTTCCGCTGGTGATTTCCCGGCTCAGGAAGGAAAACATGGGCCTGAGTAGTGCTCCTCAGCCTCAGCGCAACCTGGACCCCAGCCTGGATTCTCCCTGCGGCTCCCCAGCCAGCACTCACCGCTGCCCCAAAGGCACCTTGGTTCCAAGCCAGCTCCCCTGCAGCTCCCCACACCTCGTGCTGGCTGACCCCATCAGCTGTGCTGAAATGTCACCTACTCAAGAAGCTGCCTTTGACCACCCAGGCCATGCCTCCTGACAGCATGAATGATAATTAATTAAACGTCTTAATCACACATCTACAACCTGTCTTCTGCACTACAACTGGAGCCCCGCGGGGCAGGACCAGCTAGCTACTCTTCATCCAGGTGCATCCCAGGTGCTCAGACCAGACGGGGCCTCCCTGCAGGGGCCAGAGCCCCAGGTGCGCCCGACATCCGCAGAAGGACAACACTCCAGCCCGGAAGGCAGCAAAGTGGAACCCCAAGAAATGCATACAATTATCAGGCCACACAGCACAGGGAGCGCTTGGCCCGGGTCCTGGGAGCACGATCAGGAAAAAACCACAGACGCACCAGCTGCATTTGAAATCCACACCCCCAAATTTTTCACATGTCCACTTAATCGAAGGTATGTTTTGCACAACTGTTCCAAAGCAACACTGTACACCCAGGTCAATGGCAGCTGTGCTCGTGTGCACGTGTGCGCACGCACACATGCGTTATACGCGGTCTACGGGAAAGCCTCTCAGCGCCCAACTGAAGCCTCCATGTGCAGAGCACGCACTCTGTTTTCCCCAGCTGCTCCTTCTCCTGGACAATTAAGGCCATGCTCTTGTCCCCTCATCCTGCCTTGCTGATAATCAGGGAAATGCATTAAGAATCGCTTGGGTCTTACAATGTAAGTTGGTGGTAAAGTAGTTAAGACAAACTTATTTACCACATTAATTAAATGGTCTATTTAACATGGAATATCAATTCTCTAATCACATCTCAGTTGAACTTCTTCTTTCAATTAACTACTCTGGGCTCCTGACAGAGGTCCTACTGTTCCAGGATCATTAAGAACATTTTCATTATCTGTCAAACAAGGGGGTGAGGAGCAGAGTGCATGTGCTCAGGAGTGGCCTCTCCCTGCTTAAGAGCTGCTCAGGGAGGGACGGCGCCAGTCTCATTAGTTGCTGAGCAGTGAGAAGCCCTCCTATGAAATCACAACGGGAAGCAGAGTGCAAGGGGTCACAACAAAGCCCATGAACGAGTGTGTCCTCTGCTCTGAGGATGACCCACCTCTCGGGCCACCGACAGAGGCAGCCAGGCAGAGGGGGCCCAAGCCACACCCCTCAGGAGCAAGCAAGGCTGGGCCGGAGGGCCCCAGGAAGATGCACCCCGACAGGGAGCCCTCCTATGTGTTTGGAGTCACAGAGATTTAAAAAGCACAAACGTACCACTCTCCCCACTGTCTAAAGAATTTAAAACATGTTCAAAATAGGTAAAGTTGTATTCATTTGCTATTCTAACACAAATGAAAGAAAAATAAGCAGTAGTCATGAGAAGTGCCACAGCCCAAGCTAAATTCTGTGAAACTATGCTGCATGTAATTAATATGCCAACGAAACAAAATGTGATCAGTACATCAAACGCAGGAAAGATGAAAGGCCAGAGACACAAAGATCAATTAACAGTCTTGTCACCTTAACCTTATCCACTTAAATCCAAACTCTTGAGGTCAGCGCTTCAGTGGCCATTAAAAATAAAACAAATTCCGCAAATAATCATTTATCTGACTAAATGTAGTAGTATTCCAGACAATACTGACCACAGCGATAGCACGTTAACATCTTCAGTAGGTGAGCAGGGAAAGATGTATTTTAGAGACAACACCGACAGTACAACTACATTATTCTCCATTATTTGTCTTCCTTAGTACCACTGAACTGCGTGGTAATTTTACTCCAGGCATAATTCTGCAGAGTGACAACGTGTCCACTGAAGCCCACGTTTAATGTCTGGAGAGCTATGGAGGACACGGCCTTACCTGTGTATTCACAGATGAAGACAACAAAGAAAGGAGTGACCAGGTCATTTATCCCCTGAACATATCCACTGGCAGGATGGCGGATCGCCCATATAAACAGGATCCTTTCAAAAATCTGAAAGAAAATGGACAGATGGTGAAGTAAAAGGTCAATAAGTGGAGACTATGAAATCGCTCCACTCTTCTCCAAATGCATACCATCGTCTCTAATACGACAGGGCAAATGCTGTAGATAAACATTCACTGCAGTTCAATCGCTCTGTGAAACTCCAACGGTCTTCACTTTCTGTCGACTCAGGAGCACAGAGCGGTGCTCCGCTGGCCTGCTCAGCTCCACCCTCCTGCCCTCACTCCCAGGAGGCTCCCTGCTCCTCAAGACCACTAGGCGGGACTCCGTGGGGCAGCACAAGCCCCAGGCCACCAAATGCTTCCTCAGAGATGGCCAGGAGACAGGCAAGTGCAGGCAGATGAGGGGATGAACAGTGGACAGACAGGTGGGTGGACGGGCGCACGCACGCTCTGAACTCCCCAGGATGTAAGGAGAGTCCTGTAAGCCCCTGGGCAGGCCTCGCCACCGTGGGAGCCGCCAGCCCACCACCTGACCCCACAGTGCAGAAGCCCACAGCTGCATGCAGCTTCCTGGCCTCCGCTTGCTCTCTCCTGCCACCAGCCCACCACGCAGCTCCACAGTGCAGGGACCACACCTACACGCAGCTTCCTGGCCTCCGATTGCTCTCTCCTGCTGCCAATGGAGCCTCAGGACCAGGCTGCAGACCTGCAGGCCCCTAAACCGGGCCCTCCCCAAGGTCATCCACAGGCACCGCCCACGGCTGACCATACGAGGCGGCAGCACCGTTCCCACAGACCAAGAGGGCCTCTCCAGCCTCTGAGGCTCGCCTCAGGGCTGGCGTCCTGCAGCCCGCTGCTCCTTCCTGGCCGCTTTCTGCAAAAGCCAGCATTTCCTACTCTCCGAAACTTGCTTTTTCCTGGCCAAACCGGTGGCTCCTTGCAGGCCAAGGCCAAGTCTGAGGTCTCGGCCAGGCCTCACAGAAACAAGGCGCACGGCAGAGGCTTGCAATACACACAGAGGGACCTGTAGCCCAGGCCATGACGCCTCTTACCTCGACCCCTCCCGCAATCCATGCTGGAACCCCACACGACGATCAGCAGCATCCTTCAACGACTCACAAAGCACCCCCACACGTAAGCTGGGGCCGCTGAGGGGCATTCGCTGAGTGAGGAATACAGGGAGCCACATGTGACCACACACACTTTCCATTTCAGGTCAACGGCTTTCCAGGGAGAACTATTTAAACAAGCTCAAAGATCAAAATCATTTAATAACAACACCCGTTAGACCTCTCCTGTGTACAGCAACCTGGCCAATGACAGGGAGGCACCAAAGCCCTGCACCCCTGGGCCCATGAGCAGCCCCTTTGGTGGCCCACGTGACAGGCAAAACCCCCAGACGACAGCAGCTCCCAGGAGCCCAAACGTGGCAGCTGCAGCTCCATAGTGGCCCACAGGGGCCTGCACGGCAGGGGCAGCGCGCACATGACACAGGGGCCTGCACGGCAGGGGCAGCGCACATGACACGGGCCTGCACAGCAGGGGCAGTGCGCACATGACACTCATGCACAGGCTCTGCAGATCTCAGGATCGGCGTGACACCTGCGAGAGGTGCAGGGCCTGCCCTGCAAGGAGTCTGAGGCAGTAAACACAGAGGCGCAGCCAGGAAGCAGCACAGAGTGCTGCAGCCCTGGACGGCAAGGGGACACAGAGGCGCAGCCAGGAAGCAGCAGAGTGCTGCAGCCCTGGACGGCAAGGGGACACAAGGGAAGCAGAACAGACGGTGGTGTCGCCGGGACAGCCTTGATCGCACCGGGAGGCGCATGGGATCACGGAGCCAAGGGCAGCACAGCCAGGTTTCCACCCTGGGCGAGGCTAAGCAGGAGCCCTGAAGGCCACATTCAGCCACCACTGACGCTTTGGGTCAGAGCTCCGCTCACAGGGAAGTCACAGGAGGGTAAGGAAGACGGAAAACCAGGAGCCTACGCCTAATGCATCCACCCCACCAACACTCAGCAGGGCGCACTCAGGCAGCAGGGCCAGCGCGTGCACAAGAGTGTACAGTGTGGGGTGGCGTCCTGCTCACAGCACAAGGCTGGAAGTGGGCAGTGGACTCACACCCCACTCAAGCCCCGGATGTTCAGAGGATGTGTCACACAGACACAGCAGAGCCTCCCAGAACCAGGCAGTTTCTCCCTCAGCAGCACCTCAGCACACACCGCATCAGGTGACACCTCAAGCCCCCACAGGTCCCCAGATGCAGCTCGAGAGGCAGAGTCCTGAGCACAGCTCCGGGCCTGGGTAGGCGCCCTCCCCTCCCTTCCACAGCACCTAGTCACTTCTGTTCCTGCCTCACGTCCCACACCTGCCGATCTGGCCACCTGGAGCCTGCCCCTGCCACATCTCCCACGGCTCCCCTCACCTGCAGCATAGGACCTCAGTGCAAGCGCTAGCTCCTCAGAGACCGCTTCCAGGGAAGGGGCTTCTCCACTGTAGTCACTGCCAGGCCTTCAGCATAGCCCCACACCTCACTAGGCCAAGACTCTAGGTATCCTCTGGCACTTGTGCAGAAAAGACTAAAACAACACGAGCTGCACCCTGGCACAGGGTGGTCAGTAGGCCTTGAGGAGCCAGCTGAAGAGCAGAGAAGGGGAGGACATGGCTCCGCAGGCCCAGAGCCACAGCAGCTCGCTGCTGGGGAGGGAACATCATCCACCAGGGCACTGCAAAGCCAAGATGTACCAGCTCTGCAGATGCACCTCATGAACACAGACTGACCTGAAATGGATCCAGCAGTGAATACCCATGGAGTGCGTTTTGCTATTAAAGTTCTGCTCTCATTCTTAATACCCATGTCTTTGTGAGAGTGGGAATTTGCTACAAGTAGCCCAAGCTGTAAACTTCCGCAATCTCTCTGCTGCAGATCAGTCTGTGCTCAATAACATAAGTGGCCACTGAGACCGGTTTCGCATAGGTGAGAGGCACTCCTGGTTGCCTGCAAGCTTCAGAAAGCTGAGAGCCCTATGCACTAAGGCCAGTTCTTACTCCAAAAGGCTCTTTCTACAAGTCGGGCAAGCAGCATCTTCTACGGGAGCCCACAGATAGTGAGGTGCCTGTCCCCGTGCAGTAGGCCTTTGCCTCTTTCCTACATCTTATCAAACACCCTCTGCAGGCCTGCCCGGCAGAGCTGAGCCCCAGCTGTCCCCACAGGCAGCCGGTTCTCCGCACACTAACGAGTGCGATTCACCACAACTGAGAACACTGCTGCGCTCATTACTCACAAAAACATCTGATTTCAGAAATGTGAAAACATCATAATTCTGCCATGCGAATCCGTACTGCCACTTCACGGCGCACAAAATGCCACAGAGATAATTTCTGAGAGAAGCAACAAAACAGAGCTGCATGGAGGGGCCTCAGGGATTCACAGCCCTTCGACTGAGAGAAGATGTTGCTAACAGCTCCAGATTCTCAAGAGTCAGGGAACAGCCCCTCTGAATCACAGCACCTGATGAATGTGGCCAAAACAGAGCAGATGACAAACCCAGAAGGCGGATGCAAGGCACCACACACCACACAGGACTCACTGAGTGCAGCACTCAAACAGGACTGCACACTTACAACCCGGCACACACGAGGCTCTCCCAGCCCAGGCTACAACGCCCCCATGGGCATGCCAAACACGTTATTCCAGTGTGCTCATCTGCATCCCACATTTTGTGCTCTCCTCAGGGACACAGCAGGTAGAAGAACACAGGGCTCCAAATTAAGTACTGGAAGACAGTCCTTTCACGCAGAGCCTCACAGTGTCACAGTTATGAGGACAGACATACAGGAAAACTGACGGCTGGTGCCAGAGTGCAGCTGGAAGATGGATGAATGGCTAGAGGCATTCTGCAAATTAAAAAGAAACCTGCCTTCTAATTCTGGCAGTTATGGCACATTAGATGTTAACAAACTAAATTCTGTAATGTATTAACACTATAACCATTGTGACCAATCTAGATTTATTCCATAATGTGTAGTTGGCTCAATATTAGGAAATTATACCAATAAAATTCATCACATTAATAGACTAACACAGTAACAACATGACCTCAGATGATGGGAGGAAAAGGAACTTGATAAATTTCAACAAACCTTTATGGCTTCAAAACCAAGAGCAAGGCACTGTCCTCAACAGGAAAGAGCTCTAGGTGCAGCACTGCAAACTTCCCTCCAAAATGCAAACTGAAACAACACTGAGATTCCCTTACTCCAGAAAGAACGGCTCCCATCCCATCACAGACTCGAAAAACAAGTGCTGGAGAACTTGCGAGAGAAAAGAAACCTGTCTACACTGTTGGTGGGGACGTGGCAGATCCCTTATGGAAAGCAGCACGGGGATTCTCCTGAAAACTCAAACACAGACTCCACACGGCCCAGCTACACCCCTCTAGACAGGTTCTGGGAAGAGTTAATGCTGTCGGATTACAGCGACCCATGCACACCCACGCCCTAGCAGCACAAGTCACGACAGCCACATCTTGGGAGCAGCCTGTGAGTCCAGCAACAGTGGATAAAGAAAACGCGATGTTCGCACACAGTGGGGCACTGCTCAGTCACGAAGAAAGGTGATCTGAGTCACCTGTAGGAAATGGGTGCACCTTGAGACCAGAATGCTAAGGACAGTAAGCAGGGTACAATGGGCTGGGGGACGGCTCAGCAGCACGCGTGCCTCCCTGGCAAGCACAAGGGCCCGACTTCAATTCCCAGTACAAAAAATAAATACATACACACATACATACATACCACGTAAGAGGATTAAGCATTACTTTCTCTTATATGGGAAATCTACACTGTAAGTAGTTTAGAAGCTTAAAAAAAAAAGATGACAGGAAACAAGGAGCCAGACTTTGTAGACGTGGGAAAGGGGTCTGAGGATGGGACGGGTGGGAGGAGAGAAGGGAGGAGTACAGAGGACTAGGATGTGGTGTATGGACCAGTGTCTCACAGAAATGTGTTTGTTTTGTACCATACACGTACGATCGAAAAAGAAGTCTAAAA